TAAACCGCCTGGTATGATGTGTATTTGTTTCTTCTCTCTAGGTCAGTTACCCACTGTGGCAGATAGATGCCAGAGCTGCCTGCATGTCCCCTTCTTGGTAGTCACAAATCCCTCCCCCCGAGTATGGGACGGACCTATGACTTGCTTGTAGGCAACAGAATGCAGCAAAGGTGACAGGGTGTACGTGAGTACTTCGCATATGACTGTAATCCATCCTCACGGGAGATTCTGTCCTATAGCCGTCTTGGCTGGACACAGATTAGCTGGGTGCACTGCTTCACAGTCTTAAAAGACTGCAGTCAAGGTATGGGGTGGGGCTTTGGTCTTCTGAGGCTTGACTAGGGGAGGGTCTGCCTCCAAGCTCACGTGGTTGTTGGCAGCATCCAGATCCTTGCAGGCTGTCAGCTTTAAGGGCTTCAGTTTCTTGCTGGCTGTGGGAGGGAGGGTGCTCTCAGTTGCTTGCCATGCAGCTCTCTCCATAGATAGTGCACAGCATGGCACCTTATTTCTTCAAAGCCAGCAAGGGAGAGAGAGTCTCTTGGTCATACTGGACACATTCAAAAGACTCAGTTATTTTAACTTGCTGCATCTATTAGGGCAAATTTTGCACCCCATAGTTTATGTTAGAATTCTAAAGCTTATGTATGTGTTCACCCTGCCAATACCAATACAAACAGTTTAAGCTTTTTTCATTAATTGCATAATTATGAGTGACTGCCAAAACAATCAGCTTTAATTGTTGTTGGGTAAATCAATTTCACTGCCCTGCTCTCTCGCCTCCTTTCTTCCCCCTTCCTTCCAAATATTGCACAAAATAAGGTAGTATTTAGGCACCAGTGCTCTTGGTGCCCATGGCAGTCTACTTTTGCTTTCAGATGTGTCCCGTGAGCTGTCCCTACAATGGCCTGTTTTCTTTTTTGTGTATTTTACTCCCAGTGATGGTTTTGCTGCTTCTTGCCTTTAACAGTGATTAGCTTCACAAATCTTCCAATTGAGTCCAAGGGCTTTTCCCAAAGAAACATGCAACTGGCAGAAACAGCAAAATGAGTATCTGTGTTTCAGAATTAAGAGAAAAACTTTCACCACAACACCAGTTAGAATTTCCTTTAGTTATTATGACATCGGATTTTAACTTTGACAAAACTGAACAAGCTTTAGACTTTATTGTCGTGGAGTCTCAAGATTTTTTTTTTTTTTTTTGGTACTTGGAAACTAGTGCTGTTTTATTTTAGGTGCATGGCAAAGTGACAGAATACCAACAGAGGCCACAGCCAAATGCAGCGAAGGCAGTCTCGTTTAGATTTTCCCACTGAGCTTGACCAAGGCCAGGCTTCTCCTGGGAATTATGTGAACTCTTTTATTTGTGCCAGGATTTTTGTAATTTTGCAAGGTAACTTTAACATTATGTGTACTGAGAATTCGGCTAAATAAACTACTGATGAACACAAATCAATTTTAATTAAATCAATGGAAAAGTTGTTATTTATATCCTACTAAGTTTTCCAGTTCCTTCAAAGAATTGTTAAATTTATATTTTATGCTATAGAACTCCTCCCTAGTTTTCAGCCATCTTTCCAATGTTTCTGCTAAAATTTGGAGACCCATCCTTAACCTGTGTTCTTTTGAGCAGTCATTCCAGCAGTTCTGGTTTATTTTCATTAGTATGATACAACAATTCAAGTCCAAGGAACACAGTTCATATTCTGCCATTTGGTTATCACCCAGATCTGCTATACTTCATGGAAAAAGATCGGCCATTATTAAAAATACCTATACACACGCTCAGATACACGCGATGCATTCAGCTCATTTGAACCATAACATATAGACTTCTTTTGTGTTTTCTTTGAGGACTTTTGCTTAGGTTTTCTCTGTATTGTATATATTGAAAATATTTTAGGTGACCGAAATTTTAAAAAGTGTATTTTCCTCCACTTACAGAACCAAAATAATTGAAGAAAGTTGCACATTACCTTTCCTGACAAGGCTTTTGACTTTTTCCCTATGCTTTTTGAGAGAGTCTGTGATTAATTTTAGATTAAGAATACAGAGCCTTTCTGTTCTCATAAATGTTTTAATGCTTCATCTAGAGATGGGCTATATGGGGAGCTCTGTGATGTTGCTCTTTTTGAGAAGTAAAGTATTTCCCCACAAAAAGAGAAGGAACATTTCCAGAGGACAATGAAAGAAGCCTGGTAAATGTACTTGGAGTTTCTTAGAAGCGTTCATTCTTCTCACATGGGAGCCTGGTTTGCTCTCAAAAACATATTACCCCATTGCCAGGCACTCTCTTGCCAAAGTCAACTCATGCACCTTTTAGCCCCTTCAATACACTACAGCTGTTATATCCTGACCACCGTGGACCTCCTTCTTTCTGCTAGTACAAGGAAGTCATTCACATTCATTCTCTCTCTCGCTCTCCTTTCTCTCTCTCTCTCTCTCTCTCTCTCTGTCTTTTCCTCCCAGTCTGCACCTGGGTTGTGGATACGCTTGCTCTTCCCTCACCAGCTCTGGCTGTGCTCATTGTTCAACCTGTTTCTTCTATTACACAGGGCCTTGCATCAAAGCCAACAATGGACAAGGAATGGCTGGGTCAGAAAACAATAATCAAATCACTAAACAAAAATGGGGAATGAGACATTTTGTTTCCATTAGAAACTTTTAATTTTATTTCTTCATTGTTTACTTTGGTTTTGTCTTATTCAGCCAGCTCATAATTTTCAAATATACGTTAGTAAAGTGTGCTTTGAATTTATCTATGTGTATCGTGACTACTCACAACGCGTGAGCTCTTTCGTCTCTCTGTTAATATCGTCAGCTTGCTCTTTCCACTGCTGTTGCCTCACGCTGGGTAGCTGCTCCAGAGTAATCAGGAAATTCCTGTGTCTTCTTAACCTTATATGTGAAAACTCTTCTAGTCTTTTAAATAGAAATTACCGACATCAAAAGAATTTAAAACTTTTTCTGATTCTTACATTTAAAATCCTTTTTAGAAGGTGGGATATTAATAAACAAGCACACAAAGTAATTCCATAGACCAGTGTTTCTCATACTTCAGTGAGCATCAAAATCACCTGGAGTTACTCACCTGAGCCCCACCCCCAGAGATTCTGATCCAGGTGCTACTGATGCTACGGATCTCTGGACCGCCCTTTGAGTAACCCCTCTGATGGAGAGATCCTCGAGCCATCCCTGTACTCCTTCTCAAAGTGTTACCCCAATGCAGAGAGCAGCTCATTGACGGTAAGTGCAGAATGAAAGAGAGAGAGAGAGAGAGAGAGAGAGAGAGAGATGATAAACAGATGATTGATAGATAATAAATAAACATCTAATAGAATCATATAAAGGATCTTACATAATAACAGTTTTAAAAATTCTGGCTTTAAAATTAATGTTTTTAAAGCATGGCATACATTGTATAACAATTAAAGGAGCACAAAATAAACCATTCCCCCATTCCAGACTTACACTCCCATTTTGCAAAATCAACCATATTTATCTATAGGAAATAACAACTTAGAGTGAAACTGAGACTATAGGAAATTAAATAAAATTTTGACTGTGGTGCACATACCAAAGCTGAATGATTTAAGGCCAAATTTTCTTTAGTTTGTTTATTAGTATTCATTTGAAAGAAACATACACACACACACCCCTAAGACTGCTTTCTGAAATCCAATACATTTCCTGCCTTCTTCTTTCCTCAGTATTCTTACGGCCAAGCTATTTATAGCCCAGGAGAGGAAAAAGCTCCACTGGAGGCAGGAAAACTAAGTTCGGAAAGAATAGGAGGAAGTGTGCCTGCCATTTAGCCAAACAACCTTTAATTCATTGAGCTCAAAGCTTAGCAGCTTCACTGTCCTTGTTAGGCGTAAACAGCTTGCAAATTTCAATTTTTTTTTTCCTCTCTCCTCTTTTGAACTGGATTTGGGCAATGGAGGTGATGGCATCATTTTAGAAGAAAGAACAGGAATTTATAGGTGTTTAAACACATTAAAGAGAAACTTGCTAGAAGTTGATGAATGAACAGAAAAAGACGATTCAATCTAGGGATGAACTTTAAATGATTGCACGTCTGCAAAAGAAGGTGAGTGTCATTTTTAAGTCTGTCTATTGTTACATCTTAATGCATTTCATTTCATGAACGATGGATATTAGCCATGGACAGTGGATATGATCTGAGGGCAGGTCCTCATGTCACTTTTCAATGAGCTTTGCTTGTATCTCAGAAGAAATGTAGAAATCAGCTTCGGTTATATCTTTAGTTTTTAACAATTTTTTTTAAAAAAGTGGTTGTTTTCTGAAGATAACTTTATTTCCACTAACTTTCTTCAGTTTCATTATCATCAGGTGATTAGATAGTATAAGTAATTTCATAGATGATTGCTTTTGAAAAAATATTTTCTTGATATTTGCCTATTTGTCCATCCTTTTCAAAGTGCTCGTTAATAATCCACCTACCATTTCTTTGATCGATACTGGTTTAGAATACTTTTAATAAATAGGCCCTCAAACAAAATGGATGATTATAGAAAAATTATTTTAACTAAAATTTAAATTCTGTGTAAAATTAACTGAAGATAAAGATTTTTTTAATACAAAGATTCTTCTCTTGGACATTCATTTTCAGACAAACGGGAACCTTCTAGAAGCACACACACAAAAAAATCACTAAACAGTTTCCAGTGATAGAAACTGTTCATAGTACTTATTTACCTTTAAATTATAATTTCAAAACATTCCTTCAATGTGTATCTTCTGAGCGACTTGAAACATGTCACTGGGTTTAGAAGTGGTAAGGCCGACAGAAAATGGATTAAATCCAAGAACAGTTGATGCTGCCCACAAAAAACTTGGAAAGCTCCTAGGGACATTCCAAATTCTTTTAGCATTCTTTGCCATTAAACAAGCACATTTGTTTAAATGATGCACCCTATTTGCATGCACTGCTGATAATATCCACATTTGTGTCTTGGAGTAACTTGATTAATGTTACCACAATGACTAGCAAAGGAATAAGGTTCTGGTGGATTATTGAAGAGGAAGAGCAGAAGGAAACGTGTTGCCGTTATGTCGGCTTATCCCGGTTGGAGATTGGTATGTTTAGAATCTGTCCCAAGAAGATAGGGAAGCTGGAAGACAGAAAGGCTGCACCAGCCAGAACCAGCGCAGGAGGCCAGGTCTCAGCTCTGGCTCAGAGTGCATCCCGCTGGCTAGTCCCTTTCCCGGGAGAATGGAAGGGTTATTTTTTTCTGATTAGAAAATTATAATTCATTCCATGGAAACTGTTGGAAAGTATAATATGCTTCAATAGAAAGAGCATGATTTCTTAGTTGAACTTAAGTTGTAAGGAAAAGAGGCACATGAAATTCATCTGGATAAATAAGATAGATCTGAAGAAACAAATAAACCCTTAGCACTTACTGTCAGGACACACCAGTGAGTGCTGCAAAATCAGCTCTGGTCCGTTTTATTACCTTCCAGAGAGTGAAATCTAAGGTGACTGACTTAATCGACACTCTACGTGGCTCTAGTGATAGGAACGTTGCTTATGGTGATCCTGATCTCTGTTAATGTTGAACTCTTACAGTTTCAAAAGAGCTTTCACATTTGACACATTCATGTTTAAATTATGGGGTTAAAAATGTTTTAACACTATTTAAGGTTTAAAAAATAGATAAGATTGTGAGTTATAGATATTATTCTGAGAATATACTTATTCACTTGCAAAAGTGTCATTGATGGGCAGGGCATGGTGGCTCACGCCTGTAATCCTAGCACTCTGGGAGGCCGAGGCAGGAGGATCACTTGAGGTCAGGAGTTCGAGACCAGCCTGAGCAAGAGCGAGACTCTGTCTCTACTAAAAAATAGAAAGAAATGATCTGGACAACTAAAAATATATATACATAAAAAAATTAGCCAGGCATGGTGTCACATGCCTGTAGTCCCAGCTACTCGGGAGGCTGAGGCAGAAGGATTGCTTGAGCACAGGAGTTTGAGGTTGCTGTGAGCTAGGCTGATGCCACAGCCCTCTAGCCCAGGCAACAGAGTGAGACTCTGTCTCAAAAAAAGAAGTGTCATTGATAGTCATTGGTTTCTGGATGACCATAGATGCTTATAAATGTATTCGTGAAATGCCGGTTATTTAGAAATACAGTTCTTGAGAATTGCTTAATAGTTCCATAGGATTCTTGCGGTATTTTCAAGCTCCTGAGAGTATTTTAAGTTAGAGACAGTGAATTTTGAAAATAATTTGTCAATTTTTTTAGCTTTTTTATTAATTACATAGAAATTTATTGCCTCATTCCAGTATAACTTCCTGTAATCACTATGTGTTTATAGTTTAGCCACCCCCAGCCCTCACATGTAAATAAATATAAGTGAAATCAGGTTACTAAAGAGATCAAGTGAAACAGCAAGAAATGTAGATGTCACCAAATAGGATCTGCAACTTGTGGGATATATTGAAGAGGGGTGTGGGGAGAAGCATGCCAAGGTTGCGGTCGTCTTCTTCGGACGGGCAGCCACACCTGTCTGCCATCTGGCCTGATGTTAGGCAGGGGAGAGGAGGTGTTGCATGTTGATGTTTTATGTGTCTACAGGCACCTTAAATTTGGATTAATGGCCTCTGAAGATCCCCTTTTTCCTACCCTCTCATCCCCTCACATCCTGTATTGCAGGTTAGCAAACAGCACCACACCACCAAAGTATATTTATGAAGTTTTCCAACTTATAATACAATCTCCACCCTTGATAAACTCAACACGAAGTGGAGAAAGGGAAGTATATAGGACACAAGGCATCCTATCTATGGAGCCAAATGAACGATGTAGACCACAAATGCCACATCAGGAAGACTTGATCTGGGTAGGCTTCTTGGAGGTACGAGGTTGACCTGGGCCTTGGAAGGCAGGAGATCTGGTGGGACAGAGAGAGACAAGAGCATCCAAGGTAAGACTGGAGATGTGAGTGCGGACAGAGACAGGAATGGGCTTGGTGCGCCCAAGGAACAGGGTTGTCAGATGAAATACAGGATGCCCAGTTCAATGTGAATTTCAGATAAACAACAAACACTTTTTTAGTATAAGTGTGTTCTGTTGCATGGGTGTGTATGAGGCCTATTGCATGGGACATACTTATACAAAAGTATTATTCGTTGTTTAGCTGAAAATCACATTTAACTTGGTGCCCTGTATTTTTATTTCCTAAATCTGACAACTCTACCAGAGAACTGAGAGTCGATCACCTTGACAGGAGCAGAGGGACTAACATATGGAGCAGGAGAGGTGTCTGGAAGAGGCTGGATCAACTGTGGCGGCACTGTAATGCCAGGACAAGGAGTTTAAAATCTAATTTAAAGAGGCCGGGAGCCACTGAGGGGTTTGGGAAAGGGAAATGACGTGGATACAATCTCATTGGAGGCAGGACTTGCTAGGGCAGAGAGCAGGTCACCGAGGCCTGGGTGCTGATGAAAACAGAGAGAGAGGAACCAGATGGAGACACATTCGAGAACAAAGTGACCTGTTTTGTAAACTAATCGGGCTTGGTTATAGGAGGAGAGGAAGTGTTAAAGAAGATGTCATGTTTTATGGTCCATTCAAAGAAACGGCCAAAGAGACAACAGCAGGTCAGGGAATCAGGGAGATGAAGATTTTGGTTTTAGATGTGTTAAATTTGAGACGATGATGAAATAGTCAGGTAGAAATGGTAAGTGAATGGATGGAAATGGGAAGCAGCTTAGGAGGGAGGGGGTTGGGGGGGTCTGGAAATAGTAACAGCTGACACTTATTGAGCACTGACTGTATGTTAAGCCTTTTTTCTCTATTATCTTATTTTATGCCCGTAAATACCTGTTGGCAGGTTTCCATTGCTAGCTGAGTTTTGTAGATGAGAAAACCGAAGGTCAGAGAGGTTAAGTAACCTGCCTATGCTTGCATCGTTACTGAGAGACAGATAGAAGATGGAACCAGGTATGTAGGAAGCCAAAGCCCATGCTGCTGCTAATTGCCACAGAGAATGCTGAGCATCTTGCTCTGGCTTCACTTTCGCCATCTGCAAAGATCTAAGGGCACCAGTTGTTTGTGCTATAACCCAATGTTTAACTAGAGTCCTAGTCCTTCATTGTTCCCAACTGTGGCAGCGCTTATAGAATTCTGCACCTTTTGGTTAATCTCTCTGAGGAAATGGGAATAGTTTATACATAGACGTTTTCTTTTCTCTTTTCTTTTCTTTTCTTTTTTCTTCCTCTCTTTCCTTCCTCCCTTCCCTTCCTTCCATCCTTCCTTCCTTCCTTCCATTTCTTTTCTCTTTCTTTGCCTCCCTACCTTCCTTCCTTTCTCTCTTTCTTTCTTTTTCTGAAATTGTTTTTCCCTCAGTGGCTCATTTTAAATTTTCTCTTGGTTTTCTGGTGAAATAAAGATTATGCTGAAGAGAAAAAGAGACCAAGAAGTGTGTTAACCTCCTCTCCCTGTCCCTGGCTGCCCTCTAGTGGTAATTCCAGCTAGCAATGTTCAGCCGGGGCCAGAGACGGCACAGCCAGGCACTAGGAGCAAGCTCCTTAGGAATCTCTGAATAGTGTAACCAAGAATTCACAAAATCACCGCAGGATCATCTGTGGCCTCTTAACTGGTATGGAGGCTTAGTTGTGCTAGGAAATTCTGGAAACAGATTTTCACGGAATTACACACACCCTTACAACTGGCTGGCCTGAAGGGCATTTTGAATGGACCAGTTTTATTTCACCTGTGTACCCTTTTAGGCAGGTACATATATTATGTTTGTTTATTAAACTTTCAGTGCACACATGTGCCTTTATTGTTAAGATTTCCTAGACCTTTCACTCTAAATATTTACTTCAACATACAAATATATTTTTTAGTAAAAAGTAAAAAGTTAATTTTTTACAATGTGTCCTAAGGGAAAGAATCATAAATTCGGGCAAAAATGTATGTGAAAGGATCTTTGTCTATTTGTAACAGACACATTTCTAACCAACCTAAATATACAAAAATAGGGGAGTTATTAAATAATATTCCACAATATAGAGCTTTATACAGCCATTCAATTACATTAAGATATTTACTGTTCATAGTAATTATTCAGTGAAAAAGAGAAGGCTACAAAATTATATACATGGTGTGATCCCATTTACTTAAAAAATATATATGTATATATGAAAAAGAGTTAAGAGCTAAAAATTCATACACCAAAATGTTAACAATAGGAATTTCTGATCAGTAGGGTAATGGTGATTTTTATTTTCTACTTTGTCTCCAGGATAAATAATAATGTGCTAGTTTTACAATCAGGAACAAAAACTAGTGTGTTTTTAAAGGTGGAGAGCTAAGTCTGTGTTCCAATTTCTTGCTGTCATGGCTGACAATATGTTTGTGCTAATTCAGCTCCATTTCTGGCCTCTTTGCCAAGTAAAGAGTTATATCCTGTTTGTGACAGCATAATTCATTGTAATGGAAAAGATTATGAGGCACTGGCCTAGCCTATGACTTCACTGCATTCATCGGCAACAGGAAACAAAGACATGCACTTTTTTTTATAATTGTTTTAGTAATAATTGACAATTGGAGGAAATGAATGGCAGAAAACAATTAAAGGCAGACAAGATGGTCAGCAGATCAAACTGGGAAATGCAGTGGAGCCAGGCTCAGCTTTATTCGTGCAACAATTTCAGAACATTACAAAGATATTATTGTTTTGCTCTCAGTCTACTCCTGAAATTAGTAGTGTTTTTACCAGCTGTTACACAACTCTTTGCTGGCAGCAGTGACCCCCCAGTATGTTTTCAATTCAATAATCCGATAATCCCACATCAGGGATTTTGTGCTGAATTTCTTATGTTTATTGATATTCAGGATCAGTGTGAGCTCCTCCCTGTGCCTGTACCCAGTAATGATGCTCTGCAATATTGCTATAACTTTTCCTGCCCCTAACTAGCTGCTTCTTGCCCAGACATAGAATCTTTAAAGTTTTATTTTCCATTAACCTTAAAAATATCAAATTCATGTTTCTATTTTCTGTGAAATGAGCCCTAGTCTTCATTTTAGCAGCAATGGGTGGGAGAATAAAACAAATAAAAAAAA